AACACTAAAAACTCCTATTATCAAGGATGCATGGATGGGCACAAGCAAGAATCACACAGGATAAGAAGGCCTAGACGGGTGTGATCTGTATCTCTACTATGAGGGCCCATATCACACACTGGCAAATATATCAAAGAGTTCTGGAACCTCATAGGATCAGCCTGCATTATTGATGGGGTCATAGCCCAGGGGCTCTAAGAGTCTTCAAGACCCTCAAAGTTAATTCCTCTCCTTTTATTTATTTATTTTTTAGATTTTATTTTTAATTTATGGAATGAAACAGGCATTTCCATAACCCAACACAATAAAAATGATGGTTGTACATGAAACCACAAATCTACTATGCACAACTTGCTATTTCTTTCAGATATATAACAAAATTATCACATAAATTTTTTCTTCCTTCTTCCTCCTTCCCTGCCCTAGAGATGGCTACCATGAGACACAAATAAGTATATAAATATTAAAATTATTCTATACATACTTCTATTTATGAGGTATTTTTTTCCTCTGGATGCAGATAGCATCTTTCTTCATATGTTCTTTACAGTTAATTTGGGTATTTATAATAGACAAAATAACTTATTCATTCAAAGTCATTCTTAAAACAATATTACTATTACTATATATGAGACAGAATCCCATTGCCAATTAGTCACTTAGGTATTATTTTAAAGACCCTGGGTGAGGGGGTCTGAAAGAATTGGGAAGTTCCAAAATATGCATAAACAACTCATGATTATTTTATTACCATTATCTATCATAATCAACATTATTATCCTCATCATCATATTTTGCAATTGTATAGTACTTTCCAAAGTGCTTTGAAATCAAGGTAACAAGCATATATTATGTTCCAGACATTGTGCTAAAGGCTAGGAATATTCATCATTTATTTATATAAAATTTTTTTAAAAATATACTATGTGCCAAGCGCTGTGCTAAGCAGGGAGTGATATAAATATAACAATCATAATTAGTAATAACAATAATAGCTAACATTTATATAGTATCTTAAGACTCACAAAATGCTTTACAAATATATCATTTTATTCTCCCAACTACCCTGGGAGGCTGGCATTATTAACACTCTCATTTTACAGATGAAGAAACTGAGGCTGATAAATTTAAGTCACTTTCCCAGGGTCACCAGAAATATAAACAGAAAGGCAGTTCCTGTCCTCAAGTTGCTTATAATCTAATGAAGAGAGAGACAGGCATAAAAGGAAGCTGAAATGAGGAAGACGCACCTGCTTGAGGGGCATGGTAGATAGAGATGGTCAGAGACAGAAGAAGAACCAGGAAAGAAAAGAAGAATGGCTGTTCTGGGCCCTCCTTTAAATATAAAGGTTCTAAGAGGAACTTAGCAATGGGAAAGGAAAAGGAGGCCACACGTATTACTGAAGTTATACTGACTCAGTGACCCATTGTTCAAGTGCTGCTTATAAATCAGTGTTGGGGGAGGCTCTGCTGGGAAAGGTGTCACCCAGTCTGCAGCTTTTGTAATACCTGTTACTTGGGATGTACTCATACCAGTGATGTTTATACCCATACATGTTAAACACCACCTATAGGTAATTGGGGAGGTACTGAGATGAATTGGCCCATCCCTTTTTACTGACATGGACCTATCCGAATTGTCTTTATTTCATTACAAAAGTTATCAATAAAAGCTGTCTCCATCTTGATACCCTTTCTAATGTCCAGTGATTAGCCTGTCAATGTGTTGCTACTTTGACATATATTTAATCAACTTCTTCTAATTCTCTTTGTCCAGAGTTTTGCCTCATTAATCAGGGCAAAAGCCTGGACAAAAATTTTCCTTTTAACAGTATATTATATCATTCATTGCCCTAAGCAACATTTACACTTGTAAAAGGGAGGGCACAGAACAAAAAAAAAATTGTAACATTTTTCTCTTGTATAAGGGAGAGAGAACACAGAGGGAAAAAGAAAGCATAGGAAGGGAAAAAGAGAAGCAAAGCAAAAAGGGGAGGGAAGGAAAGTGGAAAAAAGGAAGAATGACTGAAGGGTGATACTCAGCATTTTTTAAAATAATTAAACTTTTATTGAGTATTTGCTAAGCAAAGCCTAGGTATTGAAATGCAGCTATTAAAACTTATGAAAGCATTCACTTGAGGGAGATGTGAACATTTTAATGAATAATTGAAACTATTAAAACATCCATTTCCCAATTAGAATGAATACTACCATTATGGAAGTTTTTACATTTATGTTTCTAAACTATTATTTTACCAAATCACTGAATGTCCCTGGAAATAAGCTTCAAAGGCAGAATATAATATTGAGTTAAAAAGTGGCGCATATTTTCAAGAGAAATAGAGAAAATTGCACCAGCCAGACTCCATTGAGAATGGCCCAATCTGTCCACTTACAGATGGCAATTTGATCAGTTTTCAGTCAGTGTTTTCCCCTTCAAGATTTCATCCAGTGGAATCAATGCTTAATAGCAGGGCTCTTAGGACCACAAATGATGTGTGTGTGTGTGTGTGTGTGTGTGTGTGTGTGTGTGTGTGTGCGTGCGTGTGTGTGCATATAAAAGCTTCGCTTAGAGTGCAAGAATATTTAGTTCTGGATTCAACAACACCTTTGGTATTTCCATTGGCTTCTCATCTTTACATTTGTGGCTTTTGTTCGAGGTTTGCACTAAGGAGGAACTATAACAAGCAAACTTAAAAACCAGGAGCATTGATTTGAGAGCAGTAGGCATCAATAAGTACCCAGAGACTAATAAAATAAGTTGGAGACTAATAAAATGATGGATTTTTCTTGCTGTGATGACAAAAAAGTCTTAGCTGTGTAGTCAAGCTGGAAACATTATTCTAAATACTACAGCCTCAAATGACAGTTATGACCACACGTACAGAGCTCTGAGAAATGCTCGATTGAACACATTAACCTGCTGTCATACTTCACTGGCAGCAAGATCATTCAAAGTAGCCTCACTTCTTTAACTGACCTAAAGATAAGTACCTCCTTGACTCACCTGGTTACAATCACTAAATGCTCCAGCTAACTGACTAAAGGAGTGGTTGTTGTTTTTTAAATCGTGCTTCATAATCATCCCCATAAGGCCAAATCTTGAAAAGTAGATTGTTAGGAATCATAACCTCCCTAGTATTCATAAGCAATCACAAAAACTCGCTTTCATCAAGGAGTTTATGTATGAAAGGAGATAAGACGCTCCAATAACTCTGCCCTTAACTTCTTGCTCTTAGGAGGCTTTATTCCAAAGAGTGCTGAATTCTTTCCAAAAAGTACTTCTTTTTGCCATCCTACAATCAAAGTGGCATAGGGAAGCATGGGAAATCACTCCTGCTTTACATATAAAAGGATATACCTTTGCAGGCTTCTAATACATTCTTATGTTCTACAGTCTAACCGAACTGACCTTCTCACTGCTCCTCACATATGACTTTCCATCTCCCATCCCTGTACCTTTGCATAAGCACATTCTCCATGCCTGGAATATACTCCCTCCTCATGTCTGCCTGTTGGAATCCGTGGTTTCCTTCAAATCTCAACTCATGTGCCTTTTTCTGATCCTCCCAGTTACTATGACTACCATTCTCCCCACCACCAAATTACATTGGATAAATTTGGTATATGCTTGTTTACATACATATTGTCATTATTTTGACTGAGATGGTAACTTCAGAGTCTAACATGGACCATTAGGTTTGTAGTTATGGTCCAGTGCCTAATCTTGGCTTGGCTCTACTGCTGAGTTGCTGTGTGACTAGATAAATCCCTTAAGTATTGTGTGCCTAAGTTTTTAGTGGCTGTTTAAGGTACTGGAGAGAACACTAGACTTGGGAGTCAGAAGTCTAATTAAAGAATTAAAATTACTTTGAGAACAACAGATGTTTCATTTTTGTCTCTGTATCCTCAGGACCTGACCCAGCACCCAGCATATAGTAGGGGCTTAATAGGTAAATGTTGGTTGATTGGTTGAAAATGGTCACGATTATTCCAGAAGAACATAAACTCCATGTAGGCAGAGACCCTCTTCTGTCTTTGTATCCCTAGTATGCTGCCTTGGACACAGTACAAAATTAGTAAATGCTTATTGTATTAAATTCATTCACTATAACTCACATTTATATTACATATTTGCAGAATTTCAGAGACCAAATAGTCCAAGCCATACCTGAGGCATAGTTCCTCTTGACAACATCCCCCATAAAGGGTCACCCATCCTTTGCTGAAATACAGTGATGGGGCATTCATCCAGAAGGAGTCCATTCCATTTCGGGGTACCCCTGTTAGAAAGTTTTTCCTCATACTGAGCCAAACTGCCTTTCTGGATTTTGTGCTTTAATGTTTTAAAAGTCCTTTCCTCATAACTATCCTGTGCTATAGGTAATGTAGTTATTATTATCCCCATTTTACAGATGAGGAATTAGTCAGAGAGTTTAAGTGACTTGCCCACCATGAAGCTGCTAGTGAGTGACAGAGCTAAGACTCCCATAAGGACTTCTGGCTTCTAAATCCTGTGCCATTAAAAACTTAGGCAGAGATCAGGGATTTATCCAGAGTAACACAGCAACTCGGCAATAGAACCATGAAAGGATTAAACAATAAACCATGACTACCAACCTAATGTTCTACCATGAGACCCTCAAGTTCCCACCCCAATCAAAAGATTAAAAAGCCCTAAGACGTGAGCTGAGAAGACAACCAGCTTTGGGGTGAAGTGGGAACTTTGGATACAACTTGGCAAGGGAGTCAAAACATAAGTTAATCTGGGCTATGGTTCTTAGAAAACTTGATTCTCACTGATTGATGATAAAAGACAACCATTTCCTTGGGAATTAGATACACAAATACAGTACTTTCCTCTGATAATTTGATAACAATCAGTTGATTCAGCTTTAAACATAGATTTGTTATACACATCAAATTCTTCATACACTCACACATAGAGTAAACAAGTGAGTAAAAAAACCAACAATAATAATAACAACAAAGTGACTTACATAGTAAAGACATCGATGGTATCCCCAGCAGATCTTCCCATCTCAAAATAGGTTTGCAGAATGTTAACAGTTCCCGAGAGGGCTTCATGGCCACAGCCACAGAAGAGAGCAACGCCAGCGTACAGCAAGATGGTAGCAATCAAGGAGGCATAGGGAATACCCCCCAAGCACTTAATGCAGCACTCAAAACACCCTACAGAGAACCAAAAGAAGGAATTAGTCCTCTAATTTAAAAATCAAATTGTGAGCAGCTTCTCACTAGACAGGAAATGTGATATTCGAATTCCTAAGTATGATCTAGTAGATTCTGGAAACCAGGCCTTTGAGGGCTGTGAAAACAGGGTAAATGTCAGGTTCTTCACTTATCAGGTTCTTCACCATAAGAGCAGAGCTAACCATTGTAGAGAAGAGATGCTTGTTCAATTCCTGTGCCATGACTCATATTGAGAGATGAGATAACCATTACAAAAGGGACGAAAATAACAAGAAATGAAATATACACACACATATAAGTTATATCATTCTGGAAATTGTCTTGTAACCTCAGAGCTTGGGTTCCATGTCTTGGGCACAATAAATAGTTAATTTAACTCTTTGGTGAATTGAATTGAGATTAATTCCATCTTCTTCTCCCAGTGACGGCAACCTGCTATGTCATGTTTCTTTAAATGCCCTTCCACACTTCTTCCTTCAATCCAAACCCTATACACTCCTCAAGGCCAAGGTGTGGAGCCAATTTCTCCAAGAAGTCTTCTCTGAGTTCCACAGCCCTAAGTCAACAATGTAGCTTTTATCTCAGCATTTCCAGAATCCTCATGGTCTAGATAACAGGTTCCCAATGTTTTTGGTCCCTAGACCCACTGGTTTTCAGTAAACCTTTTCATAGTCCCTATTCTATATTAACAGAAATACATTTCATGAACAGAACCAGGAGAAATGTTGTATACAGTAACAGACACGTTGCGAGATGACTAATATTGATAGACTTAACCCTTCTCAGCAGTACAAGGATCTAAGACAGCTCCAAAGGCCTCATGATGGAAAATGCTATCCATATCCAAAGAAAGAACTGTGGAGTTTGAATGCAGATGGAAGCACACTATTTGCTATTTTTTTTTCTTGTGTTGTGTTTTGTTTCCTCTTTCTGGTGGTTCCTCCTATTGGTTCTAATTCTTACCTACAACATCACTAATGTGAAAATATGTTCAACAGGAATATATATGTATAGCCTATATCAGATTGTGTGCCATCTTGGGGAGGGAGGGGGGGAAGGGGGAGAGAAAAATTTAAAACTCAAAAGCTTATGGAAGTGATTGTTGATAATTCAAAATAAATTAATTAAAAATTAAAAAAGAAATAAATTTCAGTATTTATCATGCATCTGCACATAAGAAATAAAATAGAGATATTAATTTCAATATAATAGTATAGTTATTTGCCAAATATTACTTTGTACCCCCTTGACAAGTTTCTCATACCTCCTGGAGGTATATTTACCCCATAATGAAGCCCCTGTTCTAGATGATACTGTTTCAAAGTTGTTTTGTGTAGTTAAACTTCACCTGTTTACCTAAGTTATAGACAAATTTAGCGCAGTGACCAAATCTATTTCTTTCTGCATCCTTTAGAATGAGACCACAGTGCTGGGTATATGGCAGGTGCTTAATAAATATTAATGACATTAGCTCTTGAAACTGAATGTACTACCAGAGAAATGGAATGTATCATTAGAGTTCTATTTATTTTTAAATGGATGTTCAAAGAAAGTATTCAAATGGATCTTAGATCTTTTCAATTTAGATGTTCTTTCCACTGATGTAGGTTCCAGTTCATCCATACCTGCCTATCATATGTGACTCTTGACCATGTTCTCTAAAAATTTACCACAAAGGGTCCCCCCAACATGCTGGAGGTCTTCCTCATTTTCTCTGGAAATTTTGAGCATACTAGTAGGGCACTCTTTCTCTCTCTTATCCTTCCCCCTTTTTCTACATAAGTACTGCACCTTTCCTTCCTACAATCAATACTACCTGAACAAATTAAAAAAGAATTGTGATTTTAAATTTCATACTCTAGCTTGAATATCTTTCTATCAAATATATTTTTGTCTCTAAAAAGCACCACTGAATCATTCAAAAAGCTGAATTCATAGCAAAATTACTTCCTCCAAAATACCTCCAACATGTAAAATGCTAGCTGTGGAAAGGCTAGATAGTTGCTCATCAATTCCCATCATCTCACTTTATAGGGACAGAGTAATGAAGAGATTTTCCAAGGCCACACAGACAGTAAAGGTCACATTTAGCACTTCAAAGCAAGCCTTCTGGCTCCCAAACCAGTCTTTTCATTCTTCATGCTGCCTCCCTTTTGTCACGTTTGACATTATTCCTAGATAGGTACTTGTGAGCAGCAGTGAGGTGCCTCTAATTATTGCCTAGATTCTCAAATCTATAGCCCAAAGAGTGAAACAATAGCTCTAATTAAGGATATTTTGTGATATAGAAAATTTAGAAAAACACAAGCAAAATTTGCATATCAGGTGAAACTCAGGCTTATTTCAGTGGGTGAGTGGAAAATTTCTATTTGGCATATGACCTCCAGATTAAGTTGGAGCTGCTACTAAGAGCTACAAAGAGCTACTAAGTTCCTTAGTACCATTTCATTTAAGATCCATGATTTTTCTAGCATAGATACCCCAACTCTGATCACGACTCCTCCAAGTTATAGATTGTATATGAAAAGCTTTTCAAAATTTTTATTTAGTGGAAGGTCTTTCAAGTTGCTCTGGCAAAAAGAAAAATGGCAAACTGACTTTGTTAAATTTAGCCAGGTTCATTCTTGGACAATTAACATACAGTCAGCCAATTGCCATTCCCATACTCCATTGCTGCCTTTTGAGTCTAGAATATTTCCAATAAAAATTTTGACACACACAATTCTTTGTTCCCAACTAAATATAGAAAAGGAATGAAAGTTAAAACATACTCATTTCAAATTTCTTTCTAGTCTTTTGGTGTGTTGGACTAGATCATAATCATCCCAAGTCTCCTCTTTGATTGAAAAGGGTGTTAACAGCACTCCCATCTGGGAAGGCTCCCCTCATTTCTGTAATATTCCTGACAGGAGGACACAGAATTGTTGGCAGGCAGAGGAGCTGTCTGCTATCCAAAACTAAAGATCCCCATTTGTAGAAGACTAGCATCACCATAGCAACACATCCATCCTTAAGCTTAGACCAGACCAGGAACCCCTTAGGGGCCAGACTTCAAGAGCTATGCATATCCTCAGCTTTACCACCTTGGTTCAAGAGATAAAGATTTATCAAGGGATAGAATAATTACAAATGTGAGAAAGCACAATCTGAGAAGTAGCAGGATAATCTGTTTTTAAATGGAACTTGCCTTAAAGGTTTAACCATAAGAACTTTAAATATTGGTGTTCAAGGGAATCATCTAGGAAACTGAATAGAAAAAAGGTGGACTATATTCAGGAATTTTTCAAATAAGAATGTGAATTTGACAAGTACTGGCTTTCAATATTACTTTTAAATGTGAAAATTTCACCCTTATTTCTAGATCATAAAGACAAACCTTAGAGTTTTAAAATCAAAATATTTGTGGGTTCTCATTTAACAAGAAATGTAATGCTCCAGAGGTTTTGTAACTATAGGAAAATATTTCTGAAACATGAAAATGTATTAATCAAGTATTTACTGAAAACATTCTATGTTCAAAGGACCTTTAGAGACTCAAACACAGGGGCTGTTCATCTTCTTGTTTGTCTGTTTTGCAGGAATTCCATTGCCAGTCTGTTGAAGCCTACGTACCCTTCTCAGAATAATATTTTTAAATTCATAAAATACAATGTGTAAGGTTATGAACTAATTATACTAAAATATAAGTATCTATTTAAATATTTTTAAAACTAGCCCACTGATCCAAGATTAAAAATAACTGTTAAAATAATCACTAACTCAAACATATAAACATCATATAAATGAAATAATCATAATGGAGATAGTATCTAATCAAAATTAGTTATGGACTTGATTTGATTTTCTCAAAAAAAAATATTCTATTTCTAAAATTTTGAAAAATGTTCCAAAAAATTTAGAAAGTATCTTAGATAAACCCCAATACTCCTATTTTATCCTAGAGTAATCTGAACAATACGGAGCACAATGACATTGTAGTGGTGATCAGCAAAATAAACATCCCAAAAGCCACATCTTCTCTGAATTACAGAATAGTTTTCACAATTCCCTACTTAAATTATTTTAGGTTCACAATCAGAAAAAAGGAAGGAGGAAAAACTTTATTTCATGAAAAGAAGACAGCAGAGAGACTGAAAGTCCTTATTCAAATTGTCTTTCCAGGGAGCTGAACTATTATATAAAAGCCATGGGAGTTATGAATAATTGCTAATGCTAAATGTTATCTCTATACACATATATATTTCTATAGGTCTATCAATCTATCTGTGGACACACCCACTTAACACTAGTATAAATAAACTAAAAGAAGATTTCAAAATCTATTGACCAAAATGTATGACTCATACTTAAAATGCAAAATTATTAAATAGAACCCTGAAATCAATAGACACCTATATCTCATTTTCATATTTCAATAAAGTAGGTGGACTATGTAATAAACAATAGGATCACTATCCCCTTCAGCAAACACAGCCTATGAAATGAAAGAGTAAATTATAACACTAGTCTAACAGGTTTTGTCCAGGGGTAAAAGAGCGGAGGAACAAAGGGAACAAAGGAATTTAATTATTTAGACTTTCAAATGATTTTGAAAGATTTTACCATTCTCTTCCAAAAGCTATTTAAAAATTTAAGTCTTCATAGGGGAATAGAGAGAGGAGAGGTGGAGATTTTGTTGTTGTTGTTTAAACAGGGAACTGTTTTAATAACTGGTTATAACAAAAAGCCACTGTTCTGGATACAGAAATGAAAACAGGAAATTCCTAGCTTAATGAATCAGTTCTAGGATTGATAATGCAGTTGGGTATAGGTCTAGGCATCCAAGTAGAGTGTTATATGCAGGGAGTGCAATGAGAGACACTGTGTCAAGTTAATTTTTAAATTATACATTTCATTTCAATGCAAGATAAGGAAGTCTCTCTCCATGGTATCCAGTTTTGTTTTAATTTTGTGGTACGCTACAGTGAAGGCTCAAAATC